TGTGTGTGTGTGTGTGTGTGTGTGTGTGTGTGTGTGTGTGTGTGTGTGTGTGTGTGTGTGTGAGAGAGAGAGAGAGAGAGAGAGAGAGAGTTTTCTCCTTGGTGATTCTCTCGGCATTGTGTGTGTGCCTTTGTCCGTGCATCTGCTTTGAGTCGTCAGCTACCTGAAATATTCGATCCTTGTACAATTTGATATAAACAACCCCGTGCTGTTATTAACTGAAACAAAAACTTCGGGCAGATTCACTCTACTGATGTTTTACCAGCAGCTCATGGATTAGCAAGCTTGTTCCAGTTGTGTGGTTCCCGAGTTGTAAATAACTTCTTTCTCGAGAACCTACTATCAGGATCAGAAATGCAAACCCACACATACACCCAAACACAGAGATCGCGTTTACACGCGTGTACGGCCCTGTGGTCGCGCTAAAATGCACTTTCTCGGCTTCTCGCTAGTCTTAATTTAATTTGCCCCGCCGGTTAATGAATAGCTTCATTGTAATCTAATATCTCTCCCTGGTTATTTTGATTTATTCTGCATTTTCAGATCAATTACGATCCTTTAATTTAAAAAAAATTCGTAACCGCTAACGTAAGAATAAGGAGAATAAGGACCTCGTAGGCTTCCCAGCGGCCGCCACTGCACGGCACGGCGGAGGCGAGGAGAGAGAGAGAGACGCGCACACACGTCCTTCAATCTCACTCGATCACTAGCGTTGACGTTTCCCCGGTTAGCCTACTCGCGTTTGCAGAAACAGGACATTCTCCCAGGAAATATCCCGGGGCGCGCAGTTTGCACACTAAAGAGGAACACACGTGATGCTCCTTTCGGAACGCAGGGAAGGTCTTGGAACCGGCGGCAAATGCGATGGGGGCAGGATCCAGACCGTCTCGGCAAACCTTTCCTACGCGCCGGAGCCGCTTTTGAGGAGGGAGCATCGTGCTCAGGCCAGCAACACAAGGAGCTTCAGATTCCGCTCTTCCATCCCGGCTTCTCTGTGCTGGAAGAGCCGCTGTTCTGACGCCCCTTCAAACTCCCTCTCTCCCCCCTTCTCCTTTAAATGCTGTAAATTTCCCCGGCTGCTTCGCCCATCCTAAAGTGCACTCGGGTCCCTAGTCCCCAATTCTGCAAAGGGAGGAAGGGCTGATCGTGAGCCCCCCCCCAATTCCCCTCCCCCGGTGCCCGATGCACCAAACCTGCCTTGAATGAATGGCTTTGCTTTCAGAATCGCTAATAGTGACTCAGTCCGTTTCCCTTTTTCTTTGCTCCTTTTGATCCTCTCCACTCTTTGACCTTCTTTTGGCTCAAGGGACAGTAGGCTCTGCCTCGGGGGTGGGGGGTGTATTGGGGGTGTGTGCTGGAAACAGTCCCCAGCTTATCTCCTTTCATCAAACCAGCCCCGGGCCCCCTGCAAACCGCGGGGCCAGTAATTGCTTTTTTCAGGCAGCTCAGTGCGGACTGGCGAGCAGCCAATCAGCGCCTTGTTTACACTCGGTGATGGACAGCGGGCTGGGGGATTGCCAACCAATCAAGGCATCTCCTGGAAGTGGGGAAGGGAGGGCTGGAAGAAGGGGGGGAGAAGAAACTGAAGACGGGGTGGTTAACCTGTTCGTTGCCGGTACGAAGTCGACTCTTGTGGTGCGGCTTGCGCGTGGAGAGTTTACTTACTAAAAATAGATTTTCAGAACAGAGAATATATTTAGAAGATAGAAAGAGGAAGCCTACTTATAAGTAGCATGGCAACCAATCGAGAGGTGCATATATTGGCGTACAGAGCAATCTAGAGGAGAACAGTTACTCCCCCCGCCTCTTTTCGAGCGACTGCTTTGGAAGGAGCTTTCCTTTGAAGTTTTGTCGAGGGTGGGTTTAATGGCGATGTGAAGTGTGGGAGAGACAGAAAAGAGGGAAAGAATGACTGTATAAATAAATAGATCTCGATTTATGGTAACCCACCTGGGAGTTTACATGCGCCTTAGAAGGAAAGCGTTAGTGAGAAAAACAGTTCAGAAAAGCTGTTCAGATGCTGGTAAGGTGACTCCCCAACCCCACCCTGACCACACAATATAGTGTCGCGAGGTTCATTAAAGACAAATTTGCAGGCACTAAGATGAGGCACCAGGGAAGATCTTGAGGCATGTAAAGAGCTCAGCTTGCATAGGCAGCTCGTTCTCGAATAAAAGCCGCTTTAGGGCAGGCACCGTTGTGTGCGACACGCTTTCCATACAGTGAGCTCGGCAAGACTGCCTTTCGATAACGCCAGTTCGGGCAAAGCAAAAGAAGGAACAAGAAACACCCCCACACCACCCATCTGGCGTCCGCGAGAGTGTGTGTGTGTGCGCGCGCGCGCGCGTGGGCCGGAGCGGTACTCTGGCAGCACTCGCCAAAGTTCCCCCCCCTTCCTCCTCCCTCTGCTACGTATCCCCCATTCAGCGAAGCGAGGAGAAGCTGCGCGAGGGGAACTGCGCAACTGTAGGGACTTGAATTAGGCGCCATTGGGTTGAGTAGTAGCCCTGCTGCTCTCTGATTGGCAGCTCCCTGGCCCCACGCCAGCCTATTGGGAAGCCTGTTTACGCAGGGAGAGTGGCACGAGCTTATTACCGTAGAGGACTGGGCGTCCAATCAGCGAGCGCGCTCACCCTGAGTGAGTGGCACGAGCTTATTAGTATGCAGGGAGAGTTGCTTGCAGGACTGAGCTGCGAGGTTGGGGAAGCTGGAGCCCGCGACAGGGTCTTTTTTCCTTTCTGCAAGGAGCAGCAGCCAGTGCATTTACAGTGCAACAGTCAGCACAGTGCAAATACCAATAGGAATACAACAAAATCCCACTCACTGATTTAATTGTATTGCGTTCCCTCTGTGCAAAGGAACACCCCTCCCTCCAGTAAGTAAATTAAATTTATTTAGTTTATTTAAAAAAACGTGCATTATTTGTTTTTAAATTATTATTATTATATAAACGTCAAGTACCCTCTCACGGTGGTCAGTGCTGAAATTATTATTAGTAGTGGCATACCAAAAATTATTGCGGGAAGAAATTGTTTTGATCTTATTTTTTCTTCTAGAAGCAATTCAAACACTTAAGTGATTGAAATATGTAACAACTGTCTACCAATTCCTAAGTTAAATTTTAAACGATTTCCTGGGAAATAAGATACATACTGTTTTTAGTAAAAGGAAAATCTAGATATGTGCATGTATATTTATTTTTATATCCTTTTTGATGGTTAGTATTTCCCTGAAAATTTTGTACCCAGCTCCGGGCAGTACTAACAAACCCCATGATTGTTTGCATATATCTTGCTGGAATTCTAGTTGTTGGTGTATTTTTAATGGATCTGTGAATGGGTGCTTTGCAAGGAAAACAAACACAGGCATTGTAACCTTTAAAAAAATAAAGAAAGAATGCATGCAAATTTCTAATCTTCTACCTCAAAAATGAAATCACAATAGGTCGTTGCAGACGAGGCTCTGGGGTTTCTATAAATCGGTGAAGACTACTTGAAACTGACGGTGCTTGATGCAGTACGGTTCTGAATTACAAATAAAAATTAAAAGACTTGGGGGGGAAAGATGCATTTTCATTTACTTGTGCGCCTGTCTGCGCGTTATGAATGTGTGCTGTTTTTTTTTAAATAGAAGGAGGGTTTAGGTTTTGTCACTGCGGGAAAGATTCCCTCTAATACATAGTAGCGAAATGCTTCATGACGATGCGAGGTAAAATCCCTTCTCGTGCTTGCTTTGGTTCCGTCTGGAAGGCTGCGCGGTGGCTGCCCTTCCCCGGGAAGAGAAGCCTTCTCCAAACCGAGCGGTTGCAAAACGTGCTTTGTCTTTCTCGCTCTCGGTTTCTGGCAACCTCTTTCCTCCTGTTTTCGGATCTTTCCTAAATTTTCAAAAGCACCGGAGATTCTGGGAGGTGGTACTGTAGTTTGAACTAAATACACCGAAACGAGCTTGAAATCGCTTCGCCAAAAACTACAAAGAGAATCGACAAGAAGAATCAAAAGAAAAGATGGTGGTCGGAAGAGTCACGGAAGCCTTTCGGACCGGATCTCCCCGTGGCTCGGCTCGCCGGCGCTGCCAGGCGGAAGCTTTCGAGGTCTCAGCCCCGGAAGACCCTACCGATCGTGGCCGCTTGCGAGGCCTCTTCGTCTAGCTTGAACTGCGGAGGTTTCCGCTCCACGTCTTCCGGCAAGGCCTGAAAGCAATGTAGCTCTGAAAACACCGCGGGATCTTCCATTCTCTCCGGGGCGATGCGTCGGCGAGGAATTATTTCTGGTACAACGCAAAACCTTCCCGACCCTGCAAAAGGGGCAAGACAGCACCAAACTGAATTAGTCCCTCTCTCCCCCACCCTTTTTCTCCTTGCCCCCAATTAAAAATTTTAAGGGTGGGGGCGTAATTCACTGGAACTGAGCCGTGCAAATGTAAAATGTCCTTTTGTTCCTTTAGAATGTTTGAATTCGCCGGTGGAGCCTAAAACCTTCTCGCCAGCGACGGTTCTTATAAAGAATCGCCTTCCTTTTGGTTCGCTGAAGACAAACCCGGGAAAGTGCTTGCAGGCGCCCCCCCACCCCCGGTCCTCGCCCCATGTTAATGAATGGGATCTTGGGGCTCCAGCGCTGCAACGTTTCTCACAGCCTCATTTGGCCACCTTCTTTTTTCAATCTTCGTTTTTCGCGCTCAGCAGAACGGCCCCACGATCTTGAAGGAAAGCCCATCTGCGGTAGGTGGTGGCCAGCGCTCCTTCCTGGAACCTGGATCCTGAAACTTTCCATCGGCCTGAAAATCATGATTTTCAATCCCCCCGGTTGATTTCAGTCGGAACACTGGATTTTACATTCTGCTTTTTCGGCCAGTGAGAAAGGAGGGGGCTACATGCGACGTTTCCATTCACATTGATGTATTGAACCCCAAACTTGCTGAAGCTGCTAATTTAGCTTTTGTCTCCTAGGCTTCATTTCTCTCTCTCTCTCTCTCTCTCTCTTTCTCTCTCTCTCTCTCACACACACACACACACGCACACACACAAAACCTACCGTCGCCCATTTCCCCCCTGCTAGCTCCGAGATTATTTCGAACAGAATTGGCTGAATGTAGAATACAAATATTCTTTCTAAAAATTCCTTATAATTATAAAACATAAAATATCAGTTGTGTTTAAGAGATTATAATCTCCATTGAGGAAACTGAGAGGAGAAAAGTCCTGCCCTTCTGTAGCATTTATTTACAGGGCAAAACCTGCCCATCTCTCTCTCTCTCTCTCACTCACTCTCTCACACACACACATAGCTTACTTATCAGCTGTGCAAATATGTAGTCACTTAATACATTATGTTTTCCGTTATAGATTAAATCAAACACCAAATAGCCAGGCACCACTGTTAAGGGCTGGAAGTATTGAATCTAGCTATTTAAAATATTATTTAGTGAATGAAAAACATTTTAATTGCTTTGTTGTTATAATCAGGGCTCATTAAGCTGTATGTGTATTAAAAATGTTCTATTCTGCAATGTTAACAAATGTTACCACAATGTAGTTCTACCTTTTTTTCTTTCCTTTTCTCTTTCTCTCTCTTTTGGTCTGAAGTGAGATACAATACATTCTTTAAGCAACATATTAGTCTCTGGAAAAATTTGTGCATGTGGAATTGACTGTCTAGAATGATGTACAGGGAAGCAGAAGTGTAAAGAATCTGGGTGTTCTCTCTTTTTCCATAGCAGAAGCATTAGGTTTTCCTCATTAGCATCTCGATTACTTTGTTTAGATGGACATTTGCACATTATGGTAGTGAGGAAGCCAATGAAAATCTTAGAAGTGCATATCTTCCAATGCAACACATTCTTGCTTGGTAAATCTGGGGAGGTGGGGAAAGTGGGAGGAAGAAGGTCTTTTATGCTCTCGCCCCCCTTGTCTTCCTCTCAGCTTAATGTTACACACATTGGGCCTAAGCCAAAAAACCCTTACGTGTAAATGGAATGAATGCACAGGAAGGACCTTACATAACTGTTTTGTCTAAGAATATAGTTGTAGGATTTAAACCTCTGTCCTTGGAGAAGGAATGCAGGATTTTGCCACTAAGGTGTCTGCTGTGAAATATTTATTCCTGGGCATGAGTACAGTAATTGAAGCGCAGCAAGCTGGGCTGGGGTCTCGTGAAGGCTTCCTTTGGATCACATCAAGGCAACCCAGCCTTCTGGGATTGGAGCTATGTCTTATTCTTCTCTTAAAATTACCTCTCCCTTCCCACTCCAAAAAAAAAAAAAGGCCAAAGATAAGTGAGCACACCTAAATCAGAGAACTTGGGGGGAAAAAACCTCCCTCTCTCACCCCATCTCATGAAAGAGGCATCCGTTGAGTTTACCCATACTTTCAAGCAAGGAAGAGGGTCCAAATATTATTACCAGCTCTTGAGAAAAACCTTTCGCAAATTATATATAAAAAATCAAATGCTTAAACAGTACAAGTACGATAGGAAAAGAAAATACTTAGCCATTTGACTACAAGGCATATTTTCCTCTCCTTTCTTAACCTTCTCCCTAAGGTGTTTTTTAAAGCATCGGTACAGTTCTCGGCGCTTTTTCGCCAGTTCTCTGTCCGAGAATCGTCGGCGACGGGAGAAAGTTGCGCTGGGCCGAATCGGCGAATCCTTCCCAGTTTTCAAAATAAAATTTAAAAAGGGGGTTGAACGTTGTTTTTGTTCCGACCGGGTTCTTCGCCTTAAAATCAATGAGAACGCCTTGCTTAATTGTATTGGGGGCTGGGGGGGGGTAAGCCGGCGGGAAAGGGAGCGCGGGGCAAGGCGGCTCGCGAAGGCCCCTCCGGGGGTCTGGCCTGAGAACTGCGCCGACGGGGCTGGTCTCGGGCGGAACGGAGGCTCCCGCCGTTCCCGGTCGGTGGCTTTTCTCCTCGCCGCTTTCCCCTCGCCCTCTCCAGGTCGCGATGGCTTGCTTTCTCTCACCTTTCTTCTTCTTCTCCTTCTTCTTCTTGTCCTCCTCCTTCTCCGTCCTTTTCTCTCCCCTTACCCTTTGCAGAGCATGAGGCCGGATCCCAGGCGCCAGGAGAAGCGGAGGAGCCCGGGCGGAAGACCGGCCTCCCGGTGCTGAGCAGAGGCGCGCCCGCCTTCCTCTCTCCCCTCGCCTGCTCGCCGCCCGCTCTCTCGCCCCGGAGAGAAGGAGCTTCGCCGGTACCGCGGCCTTCCCGCCGGTCCCGCTCCGCGCCCCGCTTCCCGGCCGGGGCTTGGGGCTGCTGCAGGAGCCGCCGCCCCGGTATGGATGGCCGGGAGTTCGCGCCCCCGCCTCACCTCCTGGCCGACCGGGGCCACCGCAGCAGCTCCAGCCGCCTCGCTTCCGCCGGGCACAACGCGGTGCAGCACGGAGGACACTTCCAGCCTGGGAAATACTTCCCCTCGCCCATCTCCATGGCTACGCACACAGGTCAGTGCGAGGCGTCGTCGGGGTGAGGGGAGAGGAGAGAGG